AGATAATTTTGTTTATAATAATTAATAAGTTAAACTATTTCTACAAAAAACCACAAAGACATATACTTTGAAAACAATGAAAATAAATTGCGTCTGATATTTGACATTTAATAATGAGTACACTATTATATATAAGAATAGTTTTGCTTTACTTAAGTAACTACAGAGGACACAATTCAAATAATTAATAATATTAAGAATTTTCGTAACAACCATATTTATCAAAGCAATAAGAGAAATGAAGAAATATCTATACATCTAAATACCTATCCGGATATACATATATCTAAAGGAAAGTAATAAATGACTCGAATCGGCTAACTATTTTTATTGAGCAGGCAAATCACATAACATGATCCTCATCAAAGAGTCAGATTTTTTTTCAGCTGTCACATCGGCATGAATTAAATAAAGGTCATTATTCATTGTTTTTTTTTTAATTTCTTTTATTAATGAAGATCAAAAACTTAACAATAAAAGAGGTATTTTAATCTTTTATTATTATTGAGTATTTAATCAGTTACATTCAACTCCTATTAATAGATTTTAGACATGAAAATGTCAAATCAATAAGTGTAATTTAATTAACAGAAAATAACAATTTAAAATTTCAAAGCAACGTTGAGGATTAACTATCACTTCATTGTTAATTGAGCTATTTTGTGATAAAACAAATGCTGCTTTAAAGCAGCCAAAAAATAAATTAAAATTCGGAGCAAGGATTTCCTGTCTATTTTAAAAATGAAATTCAAAGGCTTTTTTAAAACTGTTCATTCTTTAAGGACCACTAGTTTAAACTCAATACACAGAATTATCTAATTGCTTAAATAGAAAAAAAAAAAATTTTTTTTTTTGGAACAATCCTAGGAACAATTTACTTATTATATTAACCAATGAATTTAGATAGCACCACTAAATGACTTTGGAATTGTGAAAATTACAACTTGAAGCGTAAATATATAAACATGAAATCAAAATTCATTCAGGATTATTTTTTTTTTTAATTTTAGACAGGGTATTCAAAAATAGCTTTAATATCTTTATATGGCATAAAAACGAATTCGAAAAACACCGTTTCTCATTTTTATTATGTATATTTATATACATATATTTTATTTATATTCTTATTGGACAAAAATATTCACATGGTACGGTTTCTTAATTAACAATAAACCGGATTCCTTTGGTGGTATAAAACATTAAATTTAATAAAAGTTATAAAAATATTTCTTTACTGTAAATTAATTATTTGTTTCTTACTTATCCGCATTTTACAGTATTTACTTATATTCCTATATCTCTGTTATTATTGTTTTTTCTTTGATAATTATACCAAACTAAACGTTTGAAACTAATTACAAAGTAATTCCTTCATTTTCAAGTAATCCTATATTACACTGTTACACAAACTATTATGATGAATATAGTTAAATCAGTATCTAAACTTACTGTTTTATACTTATCAAAAGCCTAAGTAATATTTACTGTAATAATACGTTTTATACAAAACTGTATTTAATCAAGGTCATATGCATTTTAAAAATTAAGTAAAAAATTGCAAAACATTATTAGGAGATAACTTTTTTCACTATTACTAAACAATCACTTGGGAGAAATCAAAAATTAAAAAATAATTAAAATAACGAAAATGTATATGGAGTTGCTGATACGGTAAATTCGCAAAATGATTAGGTCTAAATTTCAGCTCAATAAAATTTGTAACTAAATCTAAGGAAACAAATTTAGGACAATACAATAAAAAAGGAGTCGCGATGGCTCAGGGGATAGAGTTGTTCAGTGTTAGAGAGAGTATTGTGTTGTAGCGCCCCCTAGAGAGAAAGAAATTAGTTAGTGTAACGAGAGGCAGTGTGCCTATGTGAGTGTTATGTGTAAGGAGTGAAACAATCTCCGAAAAATAAAAGTGATGATAATTTAAAGTTCCAGTCATCTTTTTTTGTGTTGTGAATGTTTAGAGAACTAGCGTATAAACAAGAGTGTTTGCCTTCCAAAGAGGTGAACCTGGTTCGAATCCCGGAGACGGCTGGTCGATACAAATCCGCATCCGGCTTGCACGGACCACAGCTCTGACAGTGAAATATCCTCAGTGGTAGACGGATCACGTGACCCTTAGCCGTCAGTCTAACCGTGGGAGGTTCTCGTGGTATTCCTCTCGATGTAACCCAAATGCGGGTTAGTTCCATCAAAAAAAGTCCACCACGAAGGCAAATTTCTCCCAATGCTTGATCCAGGATTTCCTTTGTCTTCTGGATTGGGTTCAAAATTTCAAGGTTACATTAATTAGTAAGAGTAAACCCAAAAATTGGGTCGGCTGTATATATATATATATATATATATATATACAATAAAAAATTTCGTGACTTTTTTAAAGGAAGAATTTTTAATTTCGGTGTTAGGAAATAAAAATTACTGCGTAGCAATTGTGGGAGTTGGTCAGCGATGAAGGTAAAGAGAGGCAAAATAACAATAAATAAAATAAAAGTTTACAAAACAAAAACATTTAAGGGAACATATTAACTCCAATTCAAAACATAACACCATATTTGCTTCAGGGGGTAAACAAACAACGAACAACAAAACGGAGAATAGACAATTTTCTAAGTAATTTCTACATAATTCAACAATCTCTTGAAATAGAAGAGTACTACATCAGATTTCGAAGAATCACTACTACCCTCAAGATGGAGGGGAAAAGAGAAATTTGCTGAGACTTAATGATTTAATTAATAGTTTTCTCTAATGAGTTTTGTTTGAGATAATGGAGTTCAGAATTTTAACGAGTCTTCAAATAAGGGTTGTAGAGGTTCTATAAATGGGGGGAATTTTAAGTAATCGATTATTTGTATGCAGTCAGAAAGTTAAGTGAGCATGTGTTCTTAATTTGGGCACATAGCTAATCTAAAATATGAAAATAATTAAAATATTTATTGGTTTGTGCCAAAGTAATTTTAAAAGATTTACGTGGCATAGAAGCTCTTACTTCATATCAAACTACACATTTTGTAGGGAAAATTCTCAATGTATTAAGAGTTTACAGTTCCCTTATTAAAATTTATATTGAAGAAGTTCGCCCGAAAAGCTATTTTCAAGCATGCATAGCATACGAATATGTACAGTATACAGGGTATCCAAAATTCATTCATGAAGTAATTTTGATTTTTTTTTAAAAAAAAAAAAGGATTTTTATTACAAGTAGTGCACAACTATGCCTGAAACAGCACAAAGGAGCTTTTTTGCCTTATAAGTATTCTTAGGTGGAAATTTTGCACGATAGAAGCTAAAAAATCGTTGATACGGTTAATTAGTTATATTCTCTAAGACGTGGGTGTTAGAAGATTAATTGACAAAAACCTTTGAGTTTTTTTTTTTTTAAAGAGGAAAAAAACTAATGAACAAAGTCTCACACCTTTAAATCGCACGACTTGAGCAACTACTCCTAATGAGCAAAGCGGGAAGTTACAGGACAAGGAAATGACACTACAGAGAACAAAATATTCCATAAAAATGCAATCGCAAAACTTTTAATAACCTTATACTATCGTATGACCCTCGGTATTTATTTTTGACACTTTTTAATAGCAAAAATGGCGTTGTTAGCGATGTTTATAACTATTGGGGCACCAGAAATTGATAAACTGACTCAAAATAGAAAACTAATGTCCCATTCTATATATTCAAAACACACATTAATATTTATATACATTAATGACAATACAATTCTTTTTTCTTGCTTGTAACGAAATGCTTGACACTCTAATACACAACTTATGATATCTTATAAGTACATGTATTGCTCACCATTTAATATCTTAAAAAGCACAGATTGAACAAACATAATTAAAAATATATGATGTGCGGTTTTTTTATATTTGTTATTCACTTGTAACTTTTAAATAGATAATAAATAATCACATTCTTTCTTTTTCTTTAATTATTATTGCTTTGATAATCATAGTATCCATGTGTTTTAATACGCAATGCATAAAATATTTAGGATAGTTGGATTTTTTTTTTTTTTTAAACTTTACAAAGGAGAAGGGAAAACTGAAAACCAAATATTCGGTGAACTTCGAATTTGATAATTTGACGATTCTTGTTTTTTAAGAGAAAAAACAGTGATTTAGTAAAATATTTCCTTAGTAAAGAGAAAATTTCGGTGCATTTTGAAATCAAACACCATTAGTAAACAATAGCAATGTAGAGCAGTTTCCCTATAGCGCTTGATTTATATGTACACAACAATTATAGAAAGGGAAAACATTTTTTCTACATGAAATATATACAAACACTTTGTTTCATTTACTCTTTTAGCAACGATTAATACTTGAATGTAGACTAAAAAAAAAAAACTAGCATGCTTCAATATGCGATAAATGGATAATTATGCCACGCTTCAAATTTTTCAACACACAAAAAACTTTCAAATACTTAACATTGAATATTTTTCAGATATTTTTGGAACATTCAGATACTATTATGGATCATCGATTGAAAACAATGCTCCATAAAGTAATTGAAAATGATAAAAATTTATAATCATTCATCCAAACGGAAAGAGAACAGAATAGACTATATTTGAATGATTTTAAAAAAAATTATTTTTTACTCATGAAATGCCTAAAACCATTCATAAGGAAGCATTTTTAAAAGAAAATCTCGCATTTTCGATGAGATATTTGAAAGCGTTTAAAAAAAAAAGAGCCAAAACAACAAAAATTTCTACCTTTGGAAAATAAAATAAATAAAGGAAAAAATATCCTTGAAGGGGCAAGTCTGATAAAAGAAGGGGTAAAAAAAAAATCCAGAGAAAACTGCTCACGTAATGACACCCACTTCAAAATTCCTTCCCTCTTCTCCCCTTTAATTGCTCTTCTTCCCAACTCCCACACTCAACCGCAATCGCACCGTCCGATATTTTTCCTCCAATCGCTATCACGCATCCTCAATGACGTCACATGATCCATCCTGATCTTCCTGGAGTCTGGGGGAACACCGAGATCACAGTGTTGGGGAGTCACAGGTATACATAGGTTTTGGGAGGCAAAGGATAGTAGTGTGTAGTTTTAACACATCTATATAAGGGATATAGTCGATTTTTTCCCCCTACTTCTCAAGCTGCCTCCTATAAAAATTACTCTAATATATAAAATATTAATAATATCTTATTTTTATTACAAATGACAGGGTTGGAAATATTCATTATTAATGGCCGTAAAAACACGTGGCATACGCGATGAATGGGCCTAGATTTTAATTTTAACTATTTTTACCTATTTGTCTTCTGGGTGCTGAATTTATTTTTTTCGCAAGTTTGTGTCTCTGTGTGTGTGTGTTCAAATTGAATCCCTATTTACCACACCGCAATAGTTGGTTGCTGATTGCGGAGCCTTACTATTTTAAAAAGAAGGATTACTTAAACTGCCAAGGTAAGTGACTGGAATATTAAAGAAAGAAAATTTCATGTGTTATTATATTTTCAGATATAAATAAATAAAAAAATATATATCTCTTCAAGATCAACCACTAATATAGTGGGAACGAACAAGTACACTTTTTTAAAACAGGGTTCCCACTCAATTTCAGAAAGAAAAAAAAATTCCCTGACTTTACAGGTATTACTTTAAAAAAAAAAAAACAAAAAAAAAACACTTTGAATGAGGATGGAAACATGCAAGTTTGACTAAAATGTGAAATTTTCACAACAAATTGTTGTAATAAATGTCAGAATTATTTAACTTGAATCTCAATAACTGATTACAGTTACTAACAATTTTAAGACTGGTCATTTTCCAGACTTAATGAAGGAATTTTCCAGATTTCCGTAAAAGATTGCAACTTTTCCTAAATATTCAAAGATTTTCAGAGTCAAAATAAAATTCCCTGACAATTCCTGGTTTTCCCTGATCCGTGGGAGCCCTATTAAAATAGGAAACATGTATACAATAATTTTTATTCGTTCTCAGGCAACGTCTAGAGATGAAATTCTGAAAAATAGGTTACTGTAAAAAATGAAAAAAAAGGGAGGGGGGAAAAAACGGAGATAAAAACGCAATAAACACTAATTTTTTACTAGCGTAGCAACCACTGGCGTGTGTGTGTATATATATATATATATATATATATATANATATATTCGTGGACGATTAGAATTTTTCAATGTTTCAACCATGAGGGAGCTCGAGGGATTTACTGGAGAAAAAAAATCTCAACATTAGTATCTCGAAACCATTTACTTTTTATTTATATTTATACATTTGATTATTTTCTGTAAATGGTGGTGTGACATGATACCTTATTAGCCAGCGAATTATTTAAAATAAATATATCCATTTTATTGCCAACACATATTTTTGACAAAAACTAGGATAAAATTGATTCCGTTAAAAAAAATATATAAATAAAATTACGACTATTTTTTTTTAGAGAAAAAGTACAACATTTCTTTTTCAGTCCGTCACTATGTGGTAACCTCTCTTTTTTTCTTTCAATCCCATGATAATAAATCTGTGTTTTGAGTTTTTAACTGCAGTTCTGTAAGTAGAAGATCAAAAAAAAATGATAATAATTTCATTAGTTATCAAGTGTACGAGGAGAATTTAATTTTGATATATAGTATCCTGGATTGATGGAAAAAGATATAGCAAATAATTTGCAATTTTAAGATTTAAGAAAAAAATCGTTTTTCTTAATAAATTGCGTTTAATAAACAGATCGCAGCTGTCGTGTTTAAAAAAAATACAATAATTCGAGCAACAAAAAAAAAAAATTCAAAAACTAATTATTCAAGATTAATGACTAATCAAAAGTATAATGAAAAAGCTTAAAGTAAAAATGTTTTAATATTTAATGAATGCAATAATTATCTGAGAACAGAAAATTAAACGATTTTTTAGCTGACAAACTAATTAAGATACCATTCGTTAAATCATACAAGACGAATAAATAAGGGGCTTTCTATACAATGTACTATAGTATAATTTTTATGTGACACCTTAAATAAAACAAGTATAGCCAAATGAGAGCAAGCAGTTAAATATATTTTTTAATGAATGAGAAATTAAGCTAAACCTAAGAAAGACAGTTTTAGAAGGTTTATACGGACTTAAGATTATTTTTATTAATGGATTGTCTTTTTTATTATTATTAATATTTTTGAGTTATTGGATAAACTCTTAAAATATTATTATAGCAAATTAATACTAATATTTGTTTAGATAGTTAAAATTTAAATTTAAAAAAAATACGTTACAAACTTATTCGTACGTACGTTGTAAAAAAAAAAGAGCTTAAAATAATATTTTTTAGGAATATCATACAACATTTTCTTACTTTTACCCTTACAATACGGAATTTATTCGTACGTAAAAATAAAAGTAATAATTTAAGTAAAAAGTACGAACTTCTTGTTCTGATACTCGAACACTATAATACATACAGTGGTTATATTATGCATTATATTATGTTGAAAGTTCAATACAATGAATAGGTTTAATCGTGGCAAACTTAACCTTTAAGTTTGCATGCAACATTTGTATGTAAAACATTAAGTAATGTTCTGACCACTACTGAAAAGTTTTCATTAATATAGTTCATAATCATGCTAAAAAAGAAGCAAACAAACAAAAACAGATTCTAATGAATTTTATTGATAAGAATAGCAGTAATTATGAAAAATCAGGGAAATAAATTTCTTTAAATTATGCAATTTTTTTTAAAAATGCATCAGTTTGACATATTTATCGGCATGTGTAAGTTCCATGCATTTTTGTTGCAACCGTTCTTCATGATTTCTGCTTTCTTGTTTAGCTAAATTCATATTTTTATCTTATAATTCATCAAAGAAACAGTAAAAATATGTAAATATTTCAAAACTACGGTACATTCCTTCACAGTTTGATACATTACTCATGCAAATTCAATAACTCATACATATTCAATTCCTCTTCCATAAATGTCTCGTTGCAGGCGATAAACAATCGATTATAATTATTGTTTTATACATTGTATATGTTGGCGTAGTATTATTACTTGAATATAAGCTATTGAGAGAAATTATACCTTCTTATGGTTCGAAGTTATTTTTGGCTCATTTTAAGTTTAAGATATTTCTACAAATGAGAAGTACTCATTTGTATATTTTTATTATACTTTATAATAAATGATTGTGATACGGATAGAAATTACAGCTTTGGTACTTCTCATAAATATACTCCTCATTTATCAGGAAAAACTAAAATAAAGTGCAGTTTCCAGGGAATCTGAATAAATAAAGTAGTGAATATTCATTTAGTTTTGAATATTATTTTAGTAGCACTGTTATATTCTAATTAAAAATATACAGCATATATTAAAATTTCAAAAAGACTCTTATAATAATTTTAAAAGTCTAAAAGAGCTTTATTAGGAGTGTAGAACGAAAGTAATAAACATTATTTATATAATATTTTTGCTATATATACAAAAATTAACTCACAAATGAAGTCTAATTTAGAGCATCTTGTACCAGTAAGGATTATAACTCAAGTGATTAAAGAACATAAACATACATTAACATAGCCAATGAAAATATTTGTTTATTACCAGTTCTTCCATTTTGTATTTGTACTACAATCAAATCTTTTTTTAATTAATTCTATCATTTAAAAAATAGTACTTTAAAAAAGTAAAAATTCAACACAGGGCATCCGACTGGGTAAAATTTGACAATTTCGATAAAAATTTCAATTTTTTCTTTAATTTTTTGTCATTTACATTTGAACTTTAGTTCATTTGCTTTCCAAAACTCTTAAAATGTTTGACCTCCGATTTTCAGAAATGAAGTTATAATAGTTTTTTCGTATGCTTTGACAGACGAAACTGTAAAGTTAACTCCCCAAGACAAATTAAAATGTTTTTTGTTATGCATTGAGGATTTTAACCTTTTTTTATTTGAATAAATTATGTTTTTAAGACAAATAAAAATCATTTTCAAAAATTAATTTTCGAATTATTAATTTTTTGTTCCCAAAATTTTCCTAAATGCGTATTTTTTTAAACAAATCGAGCTTAAACTTGAATTTATTTTGAAAAATCTTTTATAAATTTTTAAATTTATAACATTGGGACACCTGATTACGAAAATTAAAACTAAAATTTTAATTACAATAATTTTTTAAAAAATTTTGCCGAAACCAGTCGGATACCTTAGGACAGGGGTGTCAAACTCGCTGCCCGAGATGAACATTTTTGTGGCCCAGTCAATATATAAGACGCAAAGTAAAAATAAATTAGAAATGTGAATTAGAAAGGAAACTAGCATATGAAATTATAATATACTTTATTTATAATCTAGACGGATCATTTTAAATTGTACGCGCGAAAATGTAAAATTCTAATTGGCTTGCGGCACCTGCCATTCCAGGGATACTGCATCGTATCAAAAATACACAGAAAAAATTTCAAATTTTAGAACGGAATTTGAAACAAGGTTTAAAGATTTTAATTTCTCGGAAAACAAATTTTGTGGGTTTTCGTCCATTTTCTCAATAAATATAGACTCCAGTAGTATGCAAATGGAAGTGATTGAGATTCAGTGCGACTCAAATTTGATGGCAAAATTCATTGAAGTGGTTAAGCCCGAATTTTACAAATATTTACCGGCAAGGTTTGAAAATACTCGAAAATTCGCATATGAAATTATTTCCATGTTTGGAAGTACTTATCAGTGCAAGCAATTATTTTCTGTTATGAATGGAAATAAATCTCCTGTCCGAAACCGTATTAATAACGCTCNAAACGCTAGTTAGAGCCAATCTAAGACTATTCTATGAAGAACTTCTGCTTTCAACATTTTACCAATTGAAGCTGTCTGTGCTAACTATTTCCATCAATTTATGTTTTGTAGAACAAAAATAGAGAAAGTAAAAAGGTCATCAGTACTTTGTTAAAAAAGGAAAAACAGAAATAATTTTAAATAGTTGACAAGAAAATGGATGTATATTGTTTATGCATATTGCCACTGATCGGCAAATTAAAATTATATCCGCGGGCCGGAAAAAACCTTCCGGCGGGCCACAGTTGGCCCGCGGGCCGTAGTTTGTCCATCCCTGGTTTAGATAGTTAAATTTAAATTTGAAAAAAAATACGTTACAAACTTATTCGTACGTACGTTGTAAAAAAAAGAGCTTAAATTAATATTTTTAAGGAATATCATACAATATTTTCTTACTTTTACCCTTACAATACGGAATTCCAGGGGTACTGCATCGTATCAAAAATACACAGAAAAAATTTCAAATCTTAGAACGGAATTTGAAAGAAGGTTTAAAGAATTAAAAATTCCTCGGAAAACAAATTTTGTTTGTTTTCGTCGATTTTCTCAATAAATATAGACTCAGTACCCAGTAGTATGCAAATGGAAGTGATTGAGATTCAGTGCGACACAAAT